CCATAGGAACCCCAGTTTATAGCCAGTCATCCAAAGCACAGGTCACTGCCTTGCTCATGACTAGCATCTAAAATGGGGCAGTTTTGGAGACTGAGTCCCCAGTTGTGGGATGGGACCTGTGCTCCAGGTAGGTGGGGTCGGGATTGCCTATTGGCATCTGCTTGGGAACTGATGGTAGGGAAGCAAACTTCACATTTGTTCCCTTGTGCATGGTGTTAGGCAGAGCTGGAAATGGGTCCCTCGTGCCTCCTGCTGGAGTCTCAGTGCCTCCCACAGGGGAGATCTCCTAGCTTCCACCTAAGACCCTGGTCTTAGAGGCTCAGGTGGCCAAGCACCACCACCTCATACCAGGTACTGCTTCAAGCTGGAACCAAACGGAATGAGGCAGGGCTCCCTTGCCAGTACCAGTCTCGGTCCTCCCTTCTGTGAACCTGAGCACTATAGGCCCCAATTCCAGAGGCCGCACACACTTCTCTCTGCTCACTGGTTCTGGTGCCTAAAGCCTCTTCTCACATCAAGCAGAAGGGGGCTGCAGATTTGGGTTAGCCTCAACTCCTTGGCCCTTGGGGAAGTGGAAGGGGCAGAAATAGCCCCACGAGCAGCAACCCACCGTCTGTCAGTCCCAGAAGGCCTTCTTCTAGGCAGTATTGCTTTGTACCTGACTGACTGACCTCTGTTCTCTGTTCCAATTCCCACCCCCCTAACAGAGACCGTCAATAATCTGTCTGCCCTGATCTCAGGAGAAAGTCAGAAATTCTGTTTGTGAAATCTGATTTTTAAATGTTTGTAACCAATTCATGCATTTTTAATATTCTCCCTGAGAAGAGGGGTGGACAGCCTCAAAGCCAGCATCCTGACTGGGCTGTTCAGGATGTCATAACTGGGGAGACAGATGGGCACATGTGGTACCTGTGCCCGCTTACAACCGCATGTGAATCTCCTCCTAGAATAAGTTAGTCAGAAAATAAACATTGTAAACATTTAAAGGAATGAGGGGCTTGCATAGGTTGAACACAGCCGTGTGCTAGGCTTGAGCCCCAACTACCGTGCCCACTAGCTGTGTGTCCCTGGGCAAGCTTCTTGATCCCTCTGGGTATCCATAAGTGAAAGGATGGTTGGCCTTTTGGATCCACATCCGAAGATATTTCTAAAGTTGGCCCTGCATGGACCTGTACCTATGTTTATCCTGACTATGTGTCCTCCAGCAAAACAGTCTAAAGTCTAGTTGTACAGTGATGGCATTGTATTAGCTATAAGGCATCCAGGGATGACTGGAGGCCAATGGGGGGTCTTCACAGGTCACATGCTGCTCTATAACATATAGGGTAAGGACTGCAGTATCTGCAGGTTCCAGCGCCATGGACACCAAGGGGTGACTCTGACAACACTAATACCACATAGATGTGGCTGGGAATGGAATGACCTCATACCCGAAGGGCCCTGAAGGTGCTGCATGTGTCATCAGCACCATCATGAGGTGTGGGCACCTTTCTCATCGAAAGCTAAAGGACTTCATCTACAGAGACAGCTTTGGCCTCTTGCTAGTTCCTACCTCCCTGACCAACACAGACACTGAGAGGCACAAACAGCACCCAGAAATCTCAGCTGTCAGGTTTGCAGTTTAGAATCACACACTGGAGGATCTGGGGAGCTGTCCCGCCTCTCACTACACTCCTTCACCAGCACCCACCCCAAAGCCTCCTTACCAATCATTTAATATCAGAGACAGAATTGAATCAGATCCTCAAATTCTCAGGCGTGTCTCTGTGTGAGGTGGAAATCCAGTCTTGTCATTGGAACCTCAATGGTTCCAGAGTGCTAAAATAAATCAGGCTAGATCAAAGGCAGGCCACACAGTCAGAGAGTCACGTTCTGTGGTTCTAGGGTTCTAGACTTCTGGGTAAGAACAGCCGTGTATATCACGTAAAACCATGAGCCATCAAATGCGCTGCTTGGCAGACTTCCAGCTGATCGCCCGTTGTTGCTGTCTGACTGCAGTAGCATGGGACCCCTGGGGGAAGCGAACAGCCGGGGCCCTTCCCCAGGTCTTGATTCACAACACTGAATCGGCTTTTGGAGGCTGCTAAATTTCGAGACAATCTGTTACTTGGCTATAATTGACCCTCACTTCAGGATCTTCACAGAAAGCAGAAGGAAGCTTTTCCACAGAGCTACCAGGGACCTGGACCTGGAGGCAGGCATCTGCACACAGGTTCCAGGACTTCAAATCTTCCTAGTGGTCTCTAGGGACTCCCAGTTCTAGGAACAGCGGGCTTAGTTGTTCTCAATTTTGGTCACTAGGTGGCAGCCTAGAAGGCCAAACCACTGAAGTCTGGAAGGCTATACCAAGTCCTGGGAATGGATGTCTGAGGACCCCTGTGAATTTGGGTGAGATTTGGGGTAGATAGGTATTGTAGGTGATCCAGAATCCTTGGAGTGCAGCTCCTTGCCTAACACACTCAAGGCTAAATGCTGGCTCAGCCATACCCCTCCTGCACACACAGGGCCAGCTGTTTGCTTGAGTTCCCTAAGAGGCAGGCTTCAGGGCAGCAAGACTGTCAGGCCAGGTGCAATCCCCAGCCCACAGGCCTGGTTGGATGTCTTTCTCTTCTATTTCTTTTCATTTTGCGGCATCAGGATATAGCCCGGGGCTTCACAGTTTAGGAAATCCCTCCATCACTAAGCCACACTCCCAGCCCTTTATCTGTCAAAGGTTGGACTTCACTCTGGTGTCTCTCTACGGCTCAAACCCCCCTGTGCCTGCAGCAGCTGTGGATGAGGCAGGACAGGGCTAGCGCTCAGGAAGACATGCCTGACACCCCTTACTTCTCCTCAAGGCTGGACAAGTCCTGCATAAACTGGGAGCTGAGCAGGCCTGAAGATACATAAAAAGTGAGGCTCCAAGGTGGGCCTGGAGGAAGGGAAAACCATTCATATTTGATCCTGGCATGGTGCAGGGACTATCACGAATGGGTACCACATCCTTGAGCTTGTGGTTCAGCTCAGCCCTCTGATCTCTGCCATTAAGAAAAACAGGAGATGCTACCTGAGAGGGGCCTGCCTTCTCCATTTCACTATTTTGACAAGCTTCTGGCCTTGAGAGATGACAGCATCCCAGAGCAAGCTGTGACAGGTGGAGCCTGGTCACATATTCCCTGCCCTGCACATCTTTGACTATGTCCTGCACTGTGGTGCTGCCCACCTCTCTTCCCACCTGAAAAGTCAATGTGGGCCCCTGGGGCACTTGCCAGGAGCCAGGCACTTTAGTTAAGGCAGCTGTAAGGAGGTCTCTATTGTAAATCACCCTTTAATGCTTACTTTTTTTTTTCTTTAAAGAAGTTAAGATCCCAGGTCCTGGACGATTTGTGACACCAATTGTTATTTGCTCCTTCCCTGGTAGCAAGGCCTTTTAGTCCTATAACTATGAGGATGGTTCCTGGCTATTTTTTTTTTAACAGAACTTGCCTCAAGTTTATTTGTAAAAACAGCATAAGGTCCTGAACATCTGCAAATACTGTGTAGGTGTTCACACCAGTCCATCTGTCTTCACATTGGCAGACTGCGACCTTTTTTTTATGGGGCCTTCACAGGGGCCTGGGCACCTTTGGGAGCCTGAGCTGCAGCTGAGGCCTCTGCCTTGGCTTGAACCTTGGGCTTTGTTTTTTGGAGCCTACGACCCCCTGGCCATGTAGCTTCTAATCCGCTTCCCAAGCTTGGGGTGAGCAATTAAAGCCAGACGGGTGAGTTTGCGGGTGGGGCCCTTTGGCACCTTGGGCTTCACCACCTGGGGCTTCACCAGGGCCCCTTGATGGCCTTCTCACGTGCACTCATGGCCTTTGCATTATTTGCCTGCATCTTCTTCAGGCCATTCTTACTGTGCTTCTTGGCAAAGCACATGTTCCTCAGGAACTTGGGGTCAACCCCCTTGAGAGATTTGTATCTTTGTGACCGGGGTTTCTTGATGCCATTTCTGTGCCATTTCCGGGACTGGTTGTGTGTGGTGTGGTTCTTGGACTTGGCCATGGCTGGACGGTAATCGGCGGCTCCCGAAGCGCCTGCGACCAGAAGAGAAAGAGCGGTTCCTGGATATCTTGAACTCTTCTTGGGCACCTGGGGAAGCTGAGCTCAGACTTCAGCTGCTGGATCCCAACACACTTCCTGGTTCCTGATCCATAGTCTCTGTCACCCTTGTTTCAAACAGCTTCTGCAGGATACAGGACTTTTGGCCCACCTCGGTGTTTGGAAAATCAACATGGCTTTTGGGTAGAGGGGAAGTCTTTCCCCTGGTACCTGTGCTATGACTGGTGCAAACCCAGTCCTTAATTTACAGGAAGGGCTGTGCCCTGATTCGTGCAGACACTGCTTGCCACGCTTCCATTCTGAATCAGCTCATGATGACTTGCGTTGTCAGGTCGGGGAGGGGGGTTTCTCTAAAGTGGTCTTCCCCAGAGAGGCTGCAGTGGAGAACAGAGTCTTCATAGGCAAGACCAGTGAAAGTTGAGAGGAGACAAGAAATTGAGAGGAGAAGATACCTAGCCTCAACTGCAGAGGGTTCCAGCACCCCGAGTCTGAAAACTGTGACATTTGTCAATACTGAGGGTTAAGAGTCCCAAAGCCTGGGGACAGATCTGTCACACCCAAGGTTATAATAGCTGCTCAGTACTAGGGGTTAACGCCCAGGGCTGAGCATTCAGTCTGAGCATCTGGAGCCTGGGTTTCTGACCAACAGGGCTTTGGCTCTCACCACCCAAACTGCAGCCTCCGATTCTGCCTATTTGGCCCTTGGGCCTGGAGCACCTGTACCTGACAGTTTCTCCACTCCTAATCCCCACTCGCACAGGTGATTAGTAACAGGGCTAGACACTGCATCTCACTGTCCAGGGTTCCAGTTTCACGCATTCAGTCTGCTAGAGCACGCGCCTACTGCTAGACAGGAAGGAGCGCCAGACGACACTCCTGGGCGGGTCCTAGGCTAAGTTCAGGACTGGGCGTGTCCTGGGTCTCGGCTGAGACAACGCACCAGACGACCGTCGCCTGCCACGCGTGGGGCACAGTATGGGGAGGCGCTGTTGCTGTCGGCGGCGCTTGCCGGTGGTGGCAAGTCTGGGCGCTGCGCTCCTGTTCCTGTGCGCGCTCCTCCTTCTGCGTCCCGGTGAGTGCGCAGTGGCAGATGCCTCCGCTTTGGGGCTCCACTAGCTGGAGCGCCCCCTGGGTCGACCAGGCACCTATCCTTGTTCCTAGCTGGGCGCCTTCCACTCCCCAAAGGGGTCCTTTTCACGTCGCTGGCTGACGAGGTGACTATTGTTTGGGTCAGGTATTGTGGTGGAGGTTATAGCCAGTCTAGGGGGATTCTGTCAGTGTCTCCACTCTGAGCTTCGCGCTGCTCCTTCAGGATGTCCGTCTCCACCTGAGACCCCTCTGAGTACTTACATCCATGGAAGAACTGTACAGCTCTATGCAGGCCTAGGGGTACATGATCCACGACCTGCTCGTACCAGTTTCCACCAGGCATGTGGTTTCATTCTGAATGAGCTGAGGTCTCCTCAGATCCTCTGGAGGACAATCATTCTACAAGGGTGAGGGCAGAGGCCAGGCTGGGGGGGGGAGGGCTGGAGGTGCCTAGGCTACGTTTGTGACCGTCTGCCCATCTTTATGTGTCTATGGAGTCTGCTCCCTCCCTGACCGCCTCACACCCTAGGGTGGACAGCGGCATTAGTTGGGAGTGACTTAGGACAAGGGAAAACTGTTTTCTGGATGGTACTTATCCATGGAGGGACCCAGTGGCCAACCCAGTAGATTGGAGTCACTCAGAAAGCTTAACCTGCTACCTGTCCCCTCCCAGGGCCTCAGCAGTCTCATCTATGGAACAGGTGCCGACTCCATCCTCATGGGGTTTTTGGGAGGGTGAGCTTGAATGTTGCAGTAGATAGTGCTTACCCCCACCCCCAGGCCTTTCATCATGTTGGCTTCATCCTTAGGGAATCCAGATGGAGACCAGGGTTGGGCTGCGGTACAGGTGAACAGAACTGGGGAGGCCTAAGGAGTAGTCACCAGGCCCATGCCTACCCACTCTGCCAATTAACAACCTCTCCATGAACAGACACAAGTGGCTGTGCCTGGACACCTCTGGAAGCTCTTCCCCCACCCCAGGAAGCCTTCCTCCCCTTATAGAGGACCTGAAGATGAATGGCTAGCCCTGTATAGGTGCTTCCTCATGTCTACAGTGTCCGCTGGCACAGTCTGGGCTGTGGTCCCAGTGTCTGCTGTGGCCACAGTCTCTGTCCACCCTGTCATTCATTGTAGACAAGTGTTTACCCAGTCCCGGGCCACAGTGGCTCAGGTCCCTCAGCGCTCAACTCTGCTATGGGGTATGAGGGCCCTGGGGACTGTCTGCAGAGGACCATATGTCTTGGTGGCTCTCAGTGTGTCTTCAGACCTCTGGCGACATATCTCTCCTGCCAGCCCCTCCAGTCAGGTCTGAGAAAAGAAACAACCACTGCCCTGGGCCCCCTCCTCACCCACAGGATTTGGAGGGGAGGGGTGCGGATGTGGGGAGGGAGAAGTGTAAACACCTTTGCTCAGGTGGGGCTGCTGGCTACTCCTGTCACCCCCGCTGGCCTCATACCATCTGGCTTGGGAAGTCCCTGCTGACCCTGGCATCATTGCCCGTAGTCTGAGATGGGTCTGAGCTTCCTTAGCTGCCGCCCCTGCCTCCCAGTCTCTCTAGATGCTCACACCCCACTGGGGTAGGTTTCCAGCGGCTAACTTTTCAGACTTCCTTGGGCCCACAAAAGCCAATTCCACCTCGTATCCTAGAGCTAGCTCTCCACTTCAGGGGAGAAAAGAGCGCTTATGGCAGGCCCTGGCTGGGAGACAGTGGAAAGGTTTGGTCCTGCTGCAGGGGATAGGGTCCCACTGTCCCAGGCTTCAGGGGGACATGCCCATTTTTGCACCCAATTCTAGGTCATCAGGGGCTCATGGGAAGAAATTTATGGGTGAATGGGGGATCAGCGCCCAGGAGAATCCATGTGCCATAACCCAGCTGAGAGACCGAGCTGGGACCTGTCCCTTCCTGCCATAGGGAATGAGATGTTATTGTCACCATCTGCTGGGCAATTGAGCACTGAACAGGGTCATAGGCCTGGGTTCTAGCTGCCCCGGGGAATCTCACTGGCCTCTTTCCAGTAGGAAACTTATTCTGGTTCCCCTGCCCCAGGATCTGCTACCAACACTGGCTCAGAGCCCAGGGTCAGAGAGAAGGTAGCATTGTGGAGTAGGACAGTGGCCTAAGACACTTCTGTCCCCAGCATGCCACCCTCCCCTATGGGGTCCCAGTGGTGGTGCCATCTCCAGGCCCCCTTTGTCCTTTGCCCCCTCGACCTGAGCCTGGTGCCTGGGTTCCCCTGATGCTCATACCTCCAACCACATCTGTGGAACCTGTTGCCCCTGTCTAGGAGCAGAACTTATAGGTGTCCCACCTCACAGAGTTGTGTTTTGACACAAAGACCCCAGGCCTCCACACCATCAACTCTTAGTCACACACTGAGAGGTGGGGCTAGGGTTATTTGATCTGTCAAATGGGAGGGCAGAGGAGTCTCAGAACCCCTCCGCCTAAATGTCAGACTGGTAGCAAAAGGAGAGGGCATGGCTGTCGGGATGGGGCTCACAAGAGGCTCATCAGGTCCAGCTGGAGTCCAGAGCTCAGGAGACTCTTGGAGAATTGCTCTCTGATAGGTCAGTCAGCTCAAGTAAGAGCAGGGAGGCAACTGTGGTCGGGGGGGGGGGGGGAAGAAGCGACTTCCTTCAGCCAAGAGATGTGGGGGCAGGATTTGAGTCCTACAGCCCAGAGTCAGGGGAAGGGGTACATGGGGGGAGATGCGACAAACTACCCAGCACATCACCTTCCCCACAGGGTCTCCGTGATAGCTCCATTGTTGTTCTAGAATGTTTGTATGGCTTTGCTCCTTTGCCATCCTTGCCTGGGATGGTGATTTAGGCTTTTTCTTTCCACTTTATAAAGCAAGGATACTTGGCATAGACTTTGATAGAAGCATATAACTTGATTACATGGGAAACTGAATGAACTGGTTAGGTTTTTTTTTCCTACTTGACACAGCTAAGGATCATTTGGGAAGAGAAAACCCCAGTTGGAAAAATGTCTCCATCAGACTTGCCTGTAGGCAAGTCTGTGGGGGCATTTTCTCAATTAATTATTGTGAGCAGGCCATAGGGAGCAAGTCAGTAAACTGTTCCTCCGGGGTCTCTCCTGTAGTCCCTGACTCTAGGTTCCTGCTTGACTGACTTCCCTCAGTGATGCCACATAAACTATGATTAAATAAACCCCTTCCTCCCCAAGCTGTTTTTGGTCATGGTGTTTTATAACAGCAATGGAAAGCAAATTAGGACAGAAATAAGTGCTAAGAGTGGGGTTTGGATCCATGAGGACGTGTGTCCACCGGAGGTGCGGAAGGCCTGTGCACCATGCGTGGTGCTGGGCTGGTGCATAGGGCCCGGGAAAGTGGTGGCCAAAAGCTAGAGAGGTGCCGTGAGCTGAACCCAGTTCTCAGCCTTGAACGGCCGGTTAGGACGTGAGGTATTCTCCGGTCTTTAAATAGTCCCTGGCACTGTCTAAGAAATACACAGTTTCCTTAATTACACCCAGGAACACCAGCCCAGGGTGGGCACTGCTCACAGTGAACCGGGTCCTTTCACATCGACCATTTGGAAATGCTCTGTGAGCCAAGCTGGTAGGGGCATTTTCTCAGCTGAGGTTTCCTCTTCCTAAATGACTTTAGCTTGTGTCAACTCGACATGACGCTATCCAGCAGTGTGACTGAAGATAGTTTCTGCCACACTCAGTGGGACACGGTCAGCAAGAGGCGTCTACCCTCGACAGGACCTGGATTCTGATGAGAGACAAACCAGTAGCAAGCGTCACCCCCACCCCAGACCCAGTACTGGAGACTGAAGTGGGGTTCCTTCCTGGCCGGCAAATGTCACGTGTGCTACCAGTGAGCTGTATTCGTAGCTTCCAAGTCCTTCCTCCTTAATCTTAGGTTTCTGAGCCAGGGTTTCAATATTTGCCTAGGATAGCTGGGTACTCTGAGCTGTACTTAGACTGTGATCCTCCTGCTCCAGCCATCTAAGTAGCTGGGATCACTGTCGGGCACCGCGAAGCAGGGCTGCTGCATGGATTTTGAGGTGACCCGTGTGGGATAAGCAGTAAATTGGCAGGATAGTTTCCTGTTGCTCCCAAGCCATGAGGGCTGATAGTTAAGAGGCAATGTGGACCTGGTGATGGGGTCAAATAGGAGTTTCCTCACAGCAGCCGGCTTGTACAAGTCAATGAATGGAGTTTAAATATAACCAGAGAGAGGCGGAATGAACTTTCTTCCTGTGAAGAGCTTGTCCAATGTATCCCCCTCTCCCATCACGGTAATCACAGGAAAGAATGCCCCTGACACTGGATTGCAGAGCTCCCCCAAAGCATTTTTTTTGGTGGGGGAGGTTTGAGTGGAGCCAGCAGACCCAAGGCTCTGACCTAGCTCTTCCTGGTGCTTGTGTTGGTTAGTCTTGCAACATGGCAGTGAGAACTTATTAACCAGGATGTTGTTGTTGCAATGTGCCCTGGACTGGACTCCCACCCCGGTCCCATCCCCCAAAGCAACCAGGCCTGGGGCACGAGGCTTCCTGCTGAGGTCAACTTTCTTAGATTTTTGTGATGTTTCAGCCCACAAGTTCCCGAGAGGGTGTGCCCTGCTGTATTTCACCCTCTGTGACATTGTGCGCCTCGTCCCTCCCCACCATGGTGGGCACTTCCTTTTTAGTAAAGCAGAGCTTGAGGACCTTGTGGATCCCTAGAATGTGCGGTATGGGCAGGAGCTCAACGAGTGGAAGCCTGGGCCTTAGCAGTGCAGACACTGGGACCTGAGGTTTAGCCTGTCTTTGAAGTCAGTAGCCTTGGCGGTTTCTGACCTTGTGACTGTCAGTTTCCCATCTATTAAATGGGAAAGTAACAGTGTCCACCTGACAGGACGACACAGGTCAGTTTCACACAGCAGTTACATAGTGTCCTGTGTCACCTGCCCTTGTGTGGACTTAGGACGCGGGGAAAGCCCTCTGCTGAGGCCTGTGGTGCTTTCACCAGGATTTCCTTTCACCCTTCAGGGGCCCTGAGTCCACCCAAGACAGGGCAGCAAAAGTTCTGGTGGGCCTCACTCTGGTGTCTTGAGCTGAGGGAGGCGGCCTGGCTGGACAATCAGCATGTTCCTGCCAGTTTCCAGCCCACAGGCCTGCTCTGGTCTCCTTCCAAAGTACCGTTGCTTCCAGGCTCCCTGAGTCCACACTACTGTCTCCCAGCTGCAGTCCAGCGCTATCCCCGTCTCTCTCCTGCTGTTGGCACTCTATCTGTTCCTTTTCTTTCCCTTTCTCTCTCTCTTCTCTAAGGCAGGGTAGTTGTTAGCTTTCCTGATGCTTGGGGTTTGAGGAAGTCTTAGTTCTGCTGAGGCCCCCCATTGGCTATACAACCTGCTGCCTCCTCTGTATTCTGCTCTATGTCTTAGGAAAGGGAGGGACCACAGCTGGGAGCAGGTTGAGCAAGCCTGGCGGTGAAGATGCTGGGGCTCCATGTGGCCCTGTTTGTAGCCTCAGTGGTCCTTATAGTTGGACTATAAGGGCAACCCTTTCTGATAAACTTGTGTGTGTGTGCACACTCATGCATGTAGACATGTGCATGAGAATACACACACACACACACACACACACACACACACACGCATGCACCATCCCTTCTACAGCCAGCCTGTCCTTAACAGGCCTGGAGCCCTGGACTCTTCATTGGCAGGGTGGAGGTAGCCTGGCCCTGTAATCTGTGACCACAGCTATTCTGGGAACCCCGGGTGCCTGTCCTCTACACACAGACCTTTGGCATCTGTTGTGGGACCCACTCTTAGACAGCTGTGGTCTGGCCAGGAAATGGAAGGCCTTGGGCAAGGAGTGGCTTCTGGTAGGATAGGAACCTTCAAAGAAGGCTGTGGGTCAGATGACTGTGGTGTAGTCCCTCCAGGTTGCTCTCCCTACCCTGCCCACAGACCAAGAGGGAATTATGGTCTCCCAGTTGCTTGCTGAGGCTCTAAGAAGACCCCGTCACTGGGTGGCCTAGAGTGACACCTCTACCCTGCAGAATGATGAGGATGCTCTTCTTTCCTGCAGTTGAGAGGGGTCACTCTGCCATGCTGCAACTCTGCTCAGACGCTGATGCCAGCTGCTGTATTTAGCCACAGCTTATAATTAGTGGTTCTTGCCTTTCCTGGCAGCTCACTCTCCAATGTAGGTGCTGTTCTATCGAAAAGGCAACAGGATCAGAGATCCTTCCTGGGTATAGTCTGGAGAAGTTCAAGGACTGGGTCCATGGGCATCTTCAAGACAGGCTTCCTCCATGAGCCCTGGTTCAAGTCCCACCCTTCTAGGTACACACACATGGCCTGGGGTGTGCAGACAGCCCTGTAGTCTTAAGGACACCGAAGAATGCAAGATAAAAACGCAGAGAGTGTCTCTGTCCAGTTCTGGAAACAGGTAAAGCTGCATTTTTCAGGAGCGGCATCCGCACCCTGGGCCATGCACATGCTTCCGGGGGCTTTCATGATGCCTCGGATAGTGTGGTGCCCTCGTTCTAGATGCTCGTACCAGAGAGCAGGCAGGCTCATTTCCTCTTGTTCCCTGTACTTGCCACTTCCCAATGGTGAAGGGTAGGGCACGAAGGTGGGAATGACCCCAGGGACACTGCCTTACCAGTGCCCACCATTTACCAACGCCCCCAGGAGAAAGAGAAGACACAAGAAGAAAATAAGTCACACAAGTGAGTTAAATGTGTTTTAGGGGTACTGGCCAAACCATACCTTGTCCAAAGCCAGCAGTGATCTCTCTGTCCTTGTGCCCTTCAGGATTTAAAAACAAAGCCCTGGGCTCCAGCTGGTTTGGAGGAGTGAGGAAGAGTCCCCTACAACTGTTGCACGACCTGGACCAGGTAAGTGGCTGGGATGCCCTCTACCTCCTGGACAGGAACTCACAGCCTCTGGTATACGTGCTGTCATAGGCTCTGTCCAGTGTGCACAACGGGGCTTCCTGTGTAGTCTGGAAGTCTAATTTTCCTACTCATTATCCCTCCTACCACACCCGAAGCCTGTGCTTGTTCTGTGTTATGTGCTGCAGATACAGGGAAGTAAAAACAGTCCCAAGTCTGTCCCAGGGGACCAGCAACAGATGGTCATTAAGCTATGTCTGGCTCAGGAGTTCAAGTAGATGGTCATTAAGTTCCGAAAGGTTAGTAACATGGCACAACAAGGGAATGTTCAGAGGATGCCCCCACGCACCCACCCAATCAGCTCCAAGCAGATGGAGCAAGTGGCCCTACTGGGACTACACATAGCCTCTCACACACCCAATAGCACAAGCACTCAACTCAGGGTGGGATTAGTTCCCAAGGAACCCAGCCCAGACTGCTTATATATTGCTAAGTCAAAATGCTCCTGATATCTGGGACTCTTGATGTCCAGTCACTTGGCCATACAGGACACCGTGGATGTAGTTGCTCCCCTAGTGATGGTATATGTATGGGTCAGACTCACTATCCTCTCCTTCGACAAGAGTATCACTCAAGCCCAGAAAAAAGTCTCTATTCCAAACTAAAAGCACCTTCTTCTGAATGCTACCATCAGAAAGTTTTTTTTTTGTTGTTAAATGTCTAAAATCATTCAAGTATGACTGACTGAATGCCACTAGAAGAACCCCATACCCGGCTCAGTCAAACAAACACACAGACAGCATGTATTAGCACCTACTGAATGCAGTCATCCTGGTACCAGGCTTTTTCTCTTTGGGCCACCAACCACCAACCAGCTCCCAAGTCATGACATGGAGATGATGTATTAGTTTTGAATGCCTGGCCTAACTTAGGCCCAAACACTGGCAAGGGCAATGGGGAACCATGGAGGATTGAAAGCAGAGGCAGCAGGGCCAGAAGATTCCCTTGGACTGCTGCGGGAGGATTGTTGGGGCTGACTGCTGAACCTAGCGCCCTTGGGTTGAAGATTAGGAAGTCTTGTTCGCAGAGTTATGTCTGGTTCACTCCTGGTTACACATGAGCAGGTGGAGGACAGACTCTCGGGGGTCCCAGATTCCACCAGCTTTGTAGCCTTTAGAGGGACAGATGGGTCCTCAAGTCCCAGGATCCAGGGACTGTTGGAGTCAAATACTTCGAGGCCATATATTTGCTTCTGGAGAAATGGCAGCAATAGAAATGTCAGGGGACAAGGACTGATCCTGTGCCATGCACTCACCCACTATGCAAACCATAAGATAGGGCTATATGTGTGTTATTGGTGGGGATTGGAGCAAGGGGCTGAGGACCCTGCAGAAGTCACAGAGCTCATGAAGAATTGAGTCAGCTGGGCAGCTCACTAGGAGCGACAAGAGCTGTAGTGCAGGATGCGGCCCCAGCTGGTGAGTCCCTACAGTCCCAAGTTCAAGAGCCAGTCTTCCTGCAAAATGTCATGTTCTCGGGAAGCTCACTTATCCAAAGCCGAGGTTTTGTCATCTGCTGAGGGGATCATGTTGACTGTATTAGAATTCACAAGTCTGTAAACAACAGCAGTGTTGACAGAAAGGCCGGGAGCCTCAGGAAACAGCAGTGGCAAGTCACCCTCTGTCATACTCTGAGTGTTGACTCTCTGTTTCAGATTCGCAGCCTCATGACTGCAAGATGACCGCCATCCTCACAGAAAAGGACCCCGGGGTGGGGGTGGGTGGTCAAAGGTTTGGGTTCCCCCCATCCTTGTCCTCTTGTTTTGCATCCTACGAAAAAGCCTTTCCCAGGAACAGCAGGCCGACTTCTCCACAGCTCATTGGTCAGACCCAGGCCACATCCCTTTTGTGATGTTGTGAAGCTGCATGGCTGGTTCTCCTGAGGCTAGGCATAGGTCCCAACACAGTTAATGAGGAGAGAGGTGAGCTAAGGAAGATGGCTGGCATTCCTCCACAAGGGGGTGCAAGGCTGTGAGGAGGTTGAGGGCAGCCTGATCTGTGGGGCTCCGGGTGCAGCCAGGTTTCCGGGGCACTCCTGGCAGAAAACAGGATCTTCCCAGAGCCTACAGACCCTGTGGCCATGGCTGAACTTGGCATGCTTACAAAGAATGGTGAAAGTTCAGGGCAGCACACATCTCCTCAGCCAGGTGTTGAATTAGGAGCGGCGGCAGGGCTGCGTCCCCGGCACCCGGCCGCCAGCATGGCTAGCTTATGCCCCGAAATAATTACACGGAAACTGTATTCTTTCAAACACTGCCTGGCCCGGCTAGTTCCAGCTTCTTATTGGCTAGCTCTTACATATTGTTCTAACCCATTTCTAATATTCTGTGTAGCCCATGAGCTGGCTTACCAGAGAGGATCTTAACCTGCATCTGTCTGGAGTGGGAGCATCATGGCGACTCCTCCTCTAACCTTCTTTCTCCCAGAATTCTCTTCTGTATACTCCGCCTACCTAATTTTCTATCCAATAAAATGGGCCAAGGCAGTTTCTTTATTAGTAAGAAATCATTCCCACATCATTTCCCCTTTTTCCGTTTAAACAAAAAAGAAAGGCTTTAACTTTAGCATAGTAAAATTACATATAACAAAACAGTTATCAAGTAAGAATTACAGTTACAATATTTATATCTATTTTATCTCTTACCATAACTAAGGAAAACTATAACTATTCATTCTTCAACTCCATCAAAGACTCCAGAAGGATATAATATTACCTAAGTAAACAAGAAATAAGAAAACTCTAGAAATGACAGAGACATCTCGCTGCCTGGACAGTCACCCAAAGTTCTTTGGTACCGTTGGGGCATCCATCTTCGGCCTACAGGCCCATGGTATCCAGATACATTTCCATGAAGCAGGAAATTTCAAAGACAGTTCAGTCATTTTCTGCTGTGTCCTGCAGAATGTCTCGCAGACTCTTTCATGAATCAGGAACCCCGAAAGACCATCTCACCTTTAGGCAAGTTCAGCAGTCCTCTCTCTGAGGGTTCTCTGTGTCCAGTTTATGCAACAGTCCAGGCAAGAGCAGTTTCTTGCCCAAATGACTATCCAACTCCATAAGGATCCTCTTCGATGCCCATCTTCCTCTTGAAGTAGCTGGTGCTGCCAGGAGCAGACGTGTCTCCTTGTCATGAAAAGTCCTAAGTTATTAAAATATTTTAAATGCCATATTCTGCAGTCTTTGAAAGATATGAAGAATGCCTATCTAATTGAAATATATCTCTATATATCTAGAAAATCTAATTAACATGACTACAAGCTTAACTATTAGCGATGATTATCCATTAACAACCTATATTTCCTAATTATACATTACATTTTTAAATGAACTACACAATCACAATACCTTAATCAAGATCAAAAATACATATACATATAACAAAATTGACCTTAAAATCCATACCAATGCAAATTATTCATATCTATATCATATCCCCCTTTAAATGTAAAAGAACATTTATAAACAATATTTGGGAACATGGGCGTAGTTTTTTCTCTCCAAACTGCTTCCTGCTGAATAGGGGCGTCGTTAATTAGGTTGTTCATGATATAACCTGTGTGCTAGTTTCATCTCAGTTGGCAATTGAGCGAAGCAATTTTTTGAGGGTGTTCACAGCAACCTTTCAGGAGGGCGTGGTCTATCATACCAAATCGGAATAGATGCAATCCACAGGGTCACATCCTCTGTGAAAACAAAAGAAGGACTTTTCCAAAGCATCATAACCTTAGACCCAAATTCTGAAGTCAAGATACCTTTAGAACATATGTGCAGGTTCAGCTTAGCAGCCCATATAATGAAATGTCTCTCTGTACTTAGCTCCTTCACAGTCAAAAATTTTAAAGAAAACACAATGTACATAATCCAGACTCTCTGTGAATTTTCCATTTTTACGTGGCTTATTTTTCTTTATTTCTCTTAATCTATAACTATCTGTACTTCTGTACTCTGTCTCTTTAAACCATTAACTTTATTCTCTATATTCTTTTTCTTCTCTCTCTCAAGCCTACGTACATTCATCCAACATTGTGATCCATTTAGTGGTCTGTCTGAATCTGTTTTATTGTGAATCTGTAATTTCTTTATTATTCAGGAGCATTTTTTTAAAATGTTAAGCACTTTTTAAAAACTTAAGTTGCACCATGTACAGGTAATACGGTACTGCCTGTGTCCTGCCCAGTCTAAACCTTAACTGCGCTGTTATTATGGCAATTACGGTAGTTCCTGCCTGAGGTCAGCACAGTTCAGCATGGAGCAGCGGCTCCTGCCTCAGATCCATTTGGTGCCCCTGAACCATTCACAGTTCCAGGCACATTGCAGTCCACATTGGAGCTGCAATCAGCAGTTTAATTCTGAGACTGAGTGTGCAGCACAGAAACTTTTTTCATCCAAGTTACAGCCAAATCTGACACGCAGAGCACTGTGCAGTCTGAAATTGCGTCTCTGTATGGTGGCAGGAATCCGCCATGCTCTTCTGCCTGCCTAAGCCTGATTTGGCCTTCTGCCCAGGTGTAGGCGGGGAGCGCTGAGCCATCGGCACGGTCTCAGAGCACTCTCCTTCGATCCCAAGCGGGAACACAAACATCCAGTCCCATAAAAGCCTTGAAATGCTTTAAAGCCAGAGTTCACGCTGGCAGCACAGCCCCAGGAAGTGCGCTTTAAAATGACGCAGCTTTTTTTCTGCTGCTGTTGCTGAATCAGGAAATCTCTCTACGGCACGCCACCAACAAAGAGTAAAACTCTGCATTAAACTCTGTTTTTTCTGTTTTAAATTAAGCTCTCCCAGGTTTTTAAGTGGATTTAGCCATCACGTCTGGGCGCCATCTGTTGAATTAGGAGCGGCGGCAGGGCTGCGTCCCCGGCACCCGGCCGCCAGCATGGCTAGCTTATGCCCCGAAATAATTACACGGAAACTGTATTCTTTCAAACACTGCCTGGCCCGGCTAGTTCCAGCTTCTTATTGGCTAGCTCTTACATATTGTTCTAACCCATTTCTAATATTCTGTGTAGCCCACGAGCTGGCTTACCAGGGAGGATCTTAACCTGCGTCTGTCTGGAGCGGGAGAATCATGGCGACTCCTCGACTCAGCTTCTTTTTCCCAGCATTCTCTTCTGTCTACTCCGCCTACCTAATTTTCTGTCCTATGAGGGCCGAGGCAGTTTCTTTATTATTACAAGACCCACCTCCATCAGCCAGGCCCTGGTCTTCCCCAGATGGGACTGGTCCTTGTGTGGGATTCCAGGCAGGATCTAGGATGAGCATTGTAATGAGTCTTATTCTGTCCCGCCAGCCAGTTCCCATATAATGGCACAGAGACTTCTTATTATGAAAACTCAGTTCCTAACTAGTTTTTATAACTTAACTCATTTATATTAATCTACATTATACCCTGTGATGTTACCTCTCTTCTACCTTGCACCTTTTCCCTCTCTTGTGTCTCCTGGAGTCTCCTGCATGCTGAGATTCCTCCTCTTCCTTTCTCTCCCAGGAAATACAAGCCACACCTCCTGCCTAGCTATTGGCCGTTCAGCTTTTGTTGCACCAATCACAGCAATGCACCTTCGCCCAGTATACAAACATCTCACGACAGTGCGTTTTAACTCTTGCAAAATATCTTTCTGAAATTCAAGTTGTGTGTCTCTGCTTGTCCACCTTTCTGCTTCAGCTCTCCTTCGGAAATGCAAGCAGGATGACTGACCCAGGACCCCTACATTACACCACTGACTCCCTCCCTCCTACTGTAAAGCTCACCCCAGCCTGCGGATTCTGGGACTCTGGCAGCACTTGAAAGGAAAGAAAAAGTGCCCCTCAACCCATCCTTTCTGAAGTGGTTTGTTTTCTTCCCTCCCTCATGAAACACAAAGTTCATGCCACTTCATGAACTACTTTAAAAAGTACACGCCCACATACTCCTGTGCCACCAGCATCCATGATCTCATGCCCGAGGCTTGGGAATCTACCATTTCTGCTTCTGGTATGGTATGGCCTCTGAGCTGGAGATATTCTGATGGCTTCTGACATTTTGAAAAACAACTCAGTGTAAATTTGCTCTTTTGAAATGGCTGACTCAGTGGTTTTTATATTTTACATGTGTTCTCACTACTGTCTAATTCCGGAACACTTATATTATCCCAAGAGAGACTATGATTATATTGTGGCCATTCCTCTTCCTTCTCTTCTAGTCCCTGACAACCACCAATTCACTTCCTGTCTGTAGATTACCTGTTCTGATCATCCCATAGAAAAGGAATCTATGACTATGCTGTTAGTTCTAGCACTTGGGAGGCAGAGGCAGGAGGATCTCTTGAGTTCAAGGATGGCTTGGTCTACATCACAAGTTCCAGGATAGTTAGGGCTACCCTGTATCAAAAAAGAATCATGCAATCATTACCTTTCCACCCAGCATAACGCTGTCAAGGTTCCTCTGTAGCATCTGTTGTACTTCCATTTTATTTAACAGCCGAATAGCGCTCTGCTATTGTTACGCCATATAATATCTACCCATTTGTCAGATGATGGGTATTTAAGATGTGTCCATGTTTTTGACAACAGGAATAATGCTGCTATGAGCATTCATATACAGGCTTTTTGTGTGCCTATGGTTTTAGCTGTTTGGGAACTCTGAGCTCTGGGTAGGCAGGTGGAAAGAGCAGTAAATGGTGCCACGTGGCGTTATAGCCCTCACTCAGGCCTGGGTGTCAGGACTATAGTCCTACTAATGCTGCTGCTCCTATGTCAGTACAGGAAGTCAGGGCTTCTGCGCCCTCGACTCGAGCCAGCAGTGCTGAGCCAGCACCATAGTGCTTAGGCTTGCATTTGAGACTCCTGGCCCCAAACACCTGCCAGCCTTCCAAAACTTTCCAGGAAGCAGGGCGTGCATGCTCTCCCCTCTGGCTCTTTAAGCCTTCTGCTTCTTTAACCTCAGCTCTCCAGCCTCACTGTCAAGCCAGGGGAAGCAGCTGTGATCTTTGTGTTTGCAAGGTGTAAGTGTTCAAGGTGGCTGTTTGGCTGTTGTCTTTTTAGTTAGGAGATCCTGGGGAAGTCCAGTGACTACTAACTAGGTGCCCAAACTCTTCATTCCCCAAAGTCTTTGATTATTTTCAGAAAACTGAACGGCAGAATGACGGTACAGTTATCATCATCACTAAGAGTAACTTTAATGGATTTTTAACAGGCACCCTGTACCCTAGTGGTTGCCCTTCCTCCATCTCAAACTATGGAGGTGGAATGGTGGTGGGGTAGTCTTAGAGATGAGGACCCTATTGAAGAATAAATTTGAAGGGGCATTCTGTAAGCACAACTTGGGTCTTTGCATGCAGGCTAAGTGGACCACGCCCATGATCCTCTGAATAGGACCTAATTCATAGTGCTATACTGTGGTTGGCACACCAGAAGTGCTAGACAAATGATGGTGGCTCGTTCCCCCTTCCCCAGGAGACAGATGGGCAGGGAAAAGGTTACACTTTCTGTCAAAGCACTGAGATTAAAATTTGCTGATGACAACATGGAGCCATGGCTCAGCATTAAGAACACTCACTGCTTGTAGAGAACCAGGTTGGATTCCCAGCATCACAAGGTGGTGGCTCATTTCCATTTATAATTCCAGTTCCAGGGGTATCCGATGCCCTCTTCTGGCCTCTTTGGGCACTGCATGAATATGGTACATGAATGTAAAGGAAGGCAAAAATGCCCATACGCATAAAAGCAAAAACTTTGCTGGGGGTGGGGAATGAATCAAAGTCCAAAGAAATTTGTTCATTCACTAATACGGAATCAGTAACACACATAAAAACCCACATCCTGCAAACACCTGAATGGCAGCTGCCAAAGGATGGCTATGCTTCAAGGCTAGCTAGGGCACAGCCTTTCTGATGAAGTGGGGAGGACACAATGGGCGAGCAGGAATTAAACCCACAGTAGAGGACAGATCATCTATTGGTCTATGTGTTCCCGCGGCTATATGCTATGGGCCCTGTCCTCGGCCGTCCTTTGACCAGCTTACCCAGTCCTTTAAAGACTCATTCTCAGCAATCCTAGCGTATGCACAGTACCCAGCACACCTGGCTCCTCACATCCTTCCCGCCTCAGCAGTTTGACTGCATTTCCTCCAAATCCAGGGCAGATTCTGGTCCCAGACCAAGCAGGGTCTGGTGACTCCTCTGGGATTCCAGTTTCCAGTAGGGGAATCCCTTGCTTGAGTCCCTGGGCACGTGGTATCTGTGCAGCCTCTGCTTGGAGCCCGCTGCACTCTGACGCTTGGCCCTGCATGCTTCTGTCCCTTGTCGCCTGCAGGGTCAGCGTTCTGTGATGGCCGAGGTGCACCAGCAGCGGCGCCAGCTGCTACACCGCGCCTGCAGCCGCCACACACGACGCCAGCGCCTGCTGCAGCCGGAGGACCTGAGGCACGTGCTGGTGGACGACGCGCACGGGCTGCTGTACTGCTATGTGCCCAAGGTGGCCTGCACCAACTGGAAGCGCGTGCTGCTGGCGCTGCGTGGCCGTGGGGACCCTGGCTCCATCCCTGCGCACGAGGCGCATGCGCCTGGCCTGCTGCCCTCGCTGGCCGACTTTGCGCCGGCCGAGGTCAACAGAAGGCTTCGCGACTACCTGGCCTTTCTCTTCGTGCGCGAGCCCTTCGAACGCCTGGCTTCGGCCTACCGCAACAAGCTGGCGCGGCCACACAGCGCCGCCTTCCAGCAGCGCTATGGCACACGCATCGTGCGCCGCCTACGACCACACGCACAGCCCGATGCGCTGGCCCGCGGCCACGACGTGCGCTTTGCAGAGTTCCTGGCCTACCTGCTTGACCCGCGCACGCGCCGCCAGGAGCCCTTCAACGAACACTGGGAGCGCGCGCACGCGCTGTGCCACCCGTGCCTAGTGCGCTATGACGTGGTGGGCAAGTTTGAGACGTTGGCTGATGACGCGGCCTTTGTGCTGGACCTGGTGGGCGAGCCCGGCCTGCGCTTTCCTGCTCCGCCACGGAGGCCTGAGAAGGACCCTACGCGTGACCAGGCCCGGCGCCTCTTCCAGGACATCAGTCCCTTCTATCAGCGCCGCCTCTTTGACCTCTATAAGATGGACTTTCTGCTCTTTAACTATTCCGCCCCCTCCTACCTGCGGCTGCAGTAGGGATGCTGGGTGTTGAGAGGGCCTGTGACTGAGCCACCAGGAGGTCTGGAATGAGCCCGTAGTGTGGATTGGAGAGCCATTCACATTCCATATTCAGTGGGCCTGCCAAGATCCTGGACACAGGCCACTGGATTGGGCACAACTCAGGTGACAGTTCTGGCTGGCTTCTTCTGCCTTTTGGTTTGATGGCAGGTGGCAGGCTTCTTTCCAGGACCCCAGGGTTTGTTTTGTTTGGTTTGCTTTGGTGGCGTTTTGGTTGTGAGAGGCCAATCTCAGTCGTGTCTAGGCAGAGCCAGCCCATGCTGCTACAGACAGAATGCCAGGGTTTGGTTCAGAGTGGTCTGAGTCCTGCCCTGGGCCTTCCTGTCTTCACCCAGACTAGCAAGGGCAGACATGGCTAGAGAGAAGCTATGCCCTGGCCAGCCTGGGGAGGTGTATCACCAAGCACTGCCTCGGAGTCACCATGAGCAGCCTGCTTCCTTGGCAGCCACAGGATGGCAGAGCCCCTACCGTCCACCTCTGCTTGGCTGGTCTCCCTTTGATCTCATTGCAAGATTCCAGGTCATTCCCTATGTCCTCAGAGGCCAGGATGCAACATGGTGGCAGTTTTTCCTGCACGCCAGGACACTGGCCTGGTCATGGTTTTTAAATAAATATGTTTTGTTACATTTTTCACTTTGGGAAGTTTCTCTGCTTCGTTAGGCCGTTTTCCAGCCTGATCTTGGGCAACTCAGTGTCTCTGAGCCTCAGTTTCTTCTGCTGTTGAGTGGGGCAAGAATGCGCCGTGGCAGGCAGATCAGAGGAAAGTGGGCAGGGAACCCAGGTCACCTCCACAGCAGCGCTCAGGTGGCAGCAAGAGGGGCTGGAGTTAGAGAGCGGCCAAGAATAACCAATGGGGAGAGCAGAAACGGTGGAGAGGAGACGAGGGATGGGAGAGAGAGGGCCAAGAGAAATACGGGGGGGGGGGATGGGGGAGCAGGGCTCACTTACTGTCGGAGCGGAGGATTCTGACATCCGCGGCCTGTCAGGAAGCTGTGACACTGACAGCAGGCACTGTCTGCCACCTGCTGCTCAGGGGCTGCTGGCTTTAAAGCTCAGGGAAATGATCCCCCAGCCTGAGCGTGTGGAGCCCCTAGTCTTTGGCTTCTGCAGCCTGGAACAACAGGGTCCTGGCTCCCCGGATTTAAACTGTAGCCTCTGGCCTTGCCAGTGCAGCTCTTGAGCCTTGGGCACTGCCGGGTCGGGACTGCCAGTGCTGCAGTTTCTCCTCTCCCGCTCGGAGCTCTCCCGCTCGGAGCTCTGTCTAGGTACCGTAGGACCTCAGGCTCTCAGCTGCCTGAGAGCAGGCAAAGTGAAACCCCATCCGTGGGGTGCAGAGGAGCCCTGGGTCTACCTGTTCAGCCACTCACCCCTGTCCCTTTTCCATGCTGGCTTCTCCCTCACAGGAACTTGCCTGATGCCTTCAGAGCAGCCTGCCGGTGAGCAGCCACAGGCCTGCGCAGGACTCTCGCTTCTATGGATCTTGGAAGGAACCGCCACCGCTGCTGCTGGCTGTATGAATCCTGACCCCAAGACTGCTCTTCTCCCCACTGGAGGATTGTGGAGAGCCCGGAGCCTGGTATCTTTCCCAGAAACCCAAGACCATAGCTCTGCCCTTCCAACCAAACTATGGAGTGAGAGGCTGGGGCCCACCTCTCCACTTGTACTTCCCGGCCCTCACTCTGTGACAGTTCACTGGGTGCTCAGCGGGTTCACACCTGTTTATCACTCACCCTGGTTCCCAGCTCAGTTCAGCTTCCACAGAGCCCCTGATGGAGCCTGTTTGCTGGAGCTGACAGCCAGCTCTAATGTCACACTCCCAGGCATGTCACATCCAGATGCACTGAGGTACACGCTGCCACCTTCAGTGCTGTGCACGCTGCTGATAGTCACCCACGCCCTCTAATGAGGCAGCGACTGTTATGCTCCCTCCAGACGTCCCCTCACATGCCAACATGTCCCCTTTCGGGCAACACATACTCACACACACACATGCACACACACATTTTTAACATACACAAGACAGCTTTTCACATACATCGATGCTTTAAAATTATTTCTATACCAAGCCGGGTGGTGGTGGCGCACGCCTTTAATCCCAGCACTCGGGAGGCAGAGGCAGAGGATCTCTGTGAGTATGAGGCCAGCCTGGTCTACAAGAGCCAGTTCCAGGACAGGCCCAAAACTACACAGAGAAACCCTGTCTCGAAAAAAAATATTTCTATACCTTATAGATCTTTCCAAATCAATACATAGGTGCTCCTTTTTAACAGCTGCCTAAGACTGTAGGTATAGCTGTGAGCACCGGTGATGCCTACTATCAGGTGTTGAGTTGGCTTCGTACTCTTGCTATTCCCAGCTAGCAGAATGACTACTTTTATTGTCCCAGTACCTTGGCTAATGTGTGCACGCATGTATCTGGATAAAGTTCTAGAAGTGTCATTTGCTCTTTTGCCCAAGGCCTCCTGATTAAATATTATATCCATTTTTAAAATGGGAAACGAGGTAAATTGATCAGTCCAAACAGAAGTGGACTGCAAAATCTGCAAAGTTTATTGGTGCTGTGTGATTTTTGCATGTGGGGTGTGGGCCACTCCTGGTTTTTGGTGGGCTACAAGGCTGTTCCCCTTTACAAGGATCTTTGTGGCAGCTATGTGGAGCAGAGAGAACGTGGCTGAGAAAGAAGCCATGGAGAGTGGACGTTCTAGTAAAAGCTCTCAGATGGCCCTGAAGCACCACTGGTGTAGGGCTGGTCAGCACTGGTCTTGAGAGGAGGCACCTTGCTAAGGTCTTGTCTAGGGAAACGGACGTGCAGTAATTTAAGTTCCCAGAGGTTACACAGTGGAGGATGCGGAGGAGGCTGTGAGCAGCAACTGAGTGGCGTTGATGTAAAATCCGGAGCTCCGACCCTAGAGAAGCCACATGGAACCACACGTGACCCAGGGAATCCTGCAGGTCCAACCAGCCAGGGCAGACAGGACCGTATCTGGGAGGGCTTTTGAAGGATGTCTCTAGCCAGGCCTGGCCCAGGCCCATATGCAGCCTCTGTAGCTAATGACTGCCAAAGAAGCACAGGAACTCTCCTCCTGCTCACTGCTCATCCAGTCTTGGAAATCCAGGTTAGACACAGCCGATTTTGAATGCTTCATGGGCCTCACGGTGTACCCTAGTTCTGCCCATCCACTGAGGGAGCCTTGTTGGTCGACAAGCTCAGCTAAGTCATGGTTATTTTTCTTCTGTAGTTACCACCACCTGAGACCTAGCTCATCTGGAGACTGTCCTCAATGTGAGACTGGTCCTTCCCACCTGTGACTGGCTCCTCTTACCTCCTGGCCTGAGGCTGGGTCCTTGCTCTCTCCCCACCCCTTAGGGTACCTGCAAGTGCAGTCCCCCTACACTGGGCTTCTCCTTCAAGGTCCCTGTTCCTCGTTTACTTTGTTCCTTCTCCTTTATCTGTGCCCTGGGTCCCACATCTGGCCTTCTTGACTGGACTCCCAGAAAGAAGCAGGCACAGGTTCAGAGCTAGAGGACCGCATGGGGCTGGGGTTTCTCCACTTGCACCCTACTCCTCTGTTCTAATGTAGTGGGTTGGGCAGTCTCAACATGCATTTCCTAGCTGCTGAGCCCTGGCTGCTCCTCCTGCTCGGGGAAGAACTCATTTCTCACAGTGGTTGGACTGATGCATTGGGGTAGGACTGGGGTGTCAGGGTACCGTTTGCCAGTTAACCTGGAAGTCCCTCAGGATGGAGCAGCCTGTCTACCATGCCTGTGTACAGGCAGCACTTACAGTCTGGTGGAGTCTCTTGCTTCCTGCACCTCTGTTTAGGATGGAGCACTGTAGTCACATGTCTGCTGACTCTCTGAGAGGGCCTGTCCAAAAGTGACTGAGGTTTCCCTGGATAGGACGGGTGATGTCGATGAGATATTTGTCTGTGTGTGGCCACTGAGGGCAGCCAAGTACAGAACTTACCCTGGGAGGGGAATGGACCGCGTTGGCACCAGTTTCTTCTGTAAGGGCAGCTGGTCCTTCAGCAACCCTTTGCTCTTAGCCTTCCAAGACTGCGGGGAATCTCGGCTGGGTTCCGTCAACCACGATAACCTAGAAGGGCCCTTGAGTGTTTAAGTCCTGCAGCCAGCCGCCCACAGGAGTTCATACCTGGGCCTTCCTATGTGTCTGGCCTCATACCCAGTGATTTACAAAACCTTTGTTCCACCCTTTGGCTTCCCTGGCCTGGGACAGAGGGTGAAGAAGGGAGGGCCAGATGGTTGGCCACAGCAGTGTTCCTAGGGGCTCCATGGACTAGAGTCTTTCTCTCCTTCTGGCTCTAGCTCCTCAGAACGCCTGTGTCTGGGGACTTGGGAGCAATGTGGGGGCTGCGACAGAACTCAGTCCTAGGTGTCTAGGCATCTTGTACCTGTAAGGAAACTTCTTGATCAGCTTCTCATGTGTCTTGATTTTGTGTCTCTTATACCGGAGGGGCTTCTTGAGGCCTCTTGATTCCATCACAGACGGGGTCAGGCTGTGTCCTCCTCAGTCATGGGTAGAAAGCAAGAGGAAGCTGCCAGAGCAGAAGCAAGAGTAGGAGGTCGTACGACGTTATCTGTGGAGCTCATTTGACTTCCCCACTGGTGGAGAACATTGTTATTGCCCCACTTTTCATGGGAAGGGAAGCAAGAGCCACAGCAGGTGAACTGCTTTGTTTGCATCCACCCGATAAAAACAGGAATGCTGCATTTCCAAAATAGCCCAGACAATCCTGAATAGCCCAGACGATCCAGAATAGCCCAGACGATCCTGAATAGCCCAGACAATTCTGAGTAGCCCAGACGATCCAGAATAGCCCAGACGATCCTGAATAGCCCAGACAATTCTGAGTAGCCCAGACGATCCTGAATAGCCCAGACGATCCTGAATAGCCCAGACAATTCTGAGTAGCCCAGACAATCCTGAGTAGCCCAGACGATCCTGAATAGCCCAGACGATCCAGAATAGCCCAGACGATCCTGAATAGCCCAGACAATTCTGAGTAGCCCAGACGATCCTGAATAGCCCAGACCATCCTGAAAATCCCCAACAATACAGAATAGCCCAGACAATCCTGAATAGCCCAGACGATCCTGAATAGCCAGGGTGTCAGGAGTTCCAGTCGACTGCCATCCATTTGCAGGATGGCCCTGTCAGCTGCTGTTTACTCTAGGGCAGGGGCCACTGCAGAGTCCAGGGAACCTTTTGACCCCATGACACCCATCCCAGGCATGTCTACCGGCATCTTACAGCAGTAACTGACATCTCTAAGGGGATGGGACTGTCCACACAGGCTAGTGGAGCTCACCAAGGCAGCCTCACTTACATCTTGAATGTGGATTAGGACTTCGATCACAAAGCCCTAAAATTGCTCCTGTCCAGGCAATTGTAAGAGGGAGAGCTGCTGTGGTCCCATGGACTCCAATGCCACACTCAGAAACCTTGGTCAGATGGGAGACAAAGGTCCAGGGTGTTCTGGGAGCAAGCAAACCAACAGAGCTGCACATTGGAACACAGGCTTAGGTGACACCACAGGGCTTAATTCTGACCATGGTTCTGTGTGCCAGGGTACCATGGGAGCCGTAACCCCATGACTTAGGGCTAATAGGGCCCAGAGGCCCATTGGAAGGTCAGAAGCCTCTGAGGTCACAATCAGTGACAGGGTAGCTGCTGACATCTCTCACAGAAGCTGAGTGCAAGTATACCAGCACAGGAGATCTGCTGGGAAATCTTATCTTGCTAACTAAGAGGGGGAGGGAAGAAGGGAGGGAGGGAGGGAGAGAGAGAGAGAGAAGGAGGAAGAAGAAGAGGGAGAGTGAGGAAGAAAGTGAAGAGGAGCCAGGCAGCAAGATGGGCTGAGAGGTCTGGAGATTTGGTCAGTGCTGTCAGGAGATGCCCAAGCGTCTGGAAAGCCAAATGGGCTGTTTATCAGGAGCTTGATTCCCAGCAGGCTGCTCAAATCCTTAAGCCGAGATTTAGGCTTTCTCCCCTGTCTCCTCTGGGCCAGAAGAGCCTCCCAGCTTCTTAGACAAGTGTCTTGAAGGGAACAGCAGGAAAGCCAGGTGAGGGCACTGAGAGTTTGAACAGAAGACACTGCTTCTTCACTGGGACCATGTTGCGGGAGGTCCTTCCGCTCCTCCAGCCAATAGCCGCTGAGGTACCAGCCCATTGGGGCGTGGTCTCTCTCTTTAAAAAAGCGGCCTCTTCCCTCCTCTCTCTCTCTCTTTGCTTCCTGCTCTGTTTCCGGCAACTAGACTCCTTCCTGATTGTGCAGAGGGCTGTTGTCTGGGATGGTGATCTGTAAGTTTTTTCCCCTTTAAATAAATACCACCCTATTAATCATAATTCCAAACTGGTGTGGGATTGTTTGTGATTTACGCCTTCAGGACCACCTTACAGTGGCTGGGGTTGGCAGAGTGGTCTCAAAGTGCAGAGAGCCAGATGAGAACACAGCTCTTACAGTCTGGTGGTTCAGACTCTCCCAAAAGGCTCATGTGCCTCAGTGTGGTCCCCAGCTGATGGATCCATCACGAGAGGCAATTAGATCGTGAGAGCTCTGAAGTGATTGAAGGGTCAGCCCACTGATGAATTCATGATTTGATGGTACCATTGGGGAAGGATAGTGGAAACAGAAGCTGGGCCTTGCTTTTGAGGAAATAGGCCACTTGGAGTGGCATTTGTGTTCACAGCAATGGCAACCCTAATTAAGACCAAACTTGGTACTAGGAGTGGGATATTGCTGTGAGAGGCCTGACCATGTGTTTTGGGAAAGACTGTGGAAGGACTTTGGAACTTTGGACTAGAAAACTACTGAGTGTTGAGATCTCAGTGGGTTATTGTGTAGGAGCTTGGAAGATAACATTAGGAGCAGTGCTGATGATGGAGGCCTCATGTGAAGTTGCAGAGGGAAGCAAATACTCTATATGGCCAAATGTGTGAAGAATCTAGTTTCTGGGCAGCTGGGCCTGAAGAGTCAGCAGGGCTTTAACAAGAGATTGGCGCCCCTGAAGTGAAACCTTTGCTTTACTGGGACAAGTGATGCTGGTTAGCCAGAGCTGAGAAGTGAGCAGTGATTAAGAAAAGACCAGTGGTGGCGCACACCTTTAACCCAGGCACTTGGAAGGCAGAGACAGGTGGATCTCTGTGACTTCCAGACTAATCTGGTCTACAAGAGCTAGTTCCAGGACAGGCTCCAAAGCTACAGAGGCTCACATATTTAAATGATTAGTCATCAGGAATTGGCACTGTTTGCAAGTATTAGAAGGATTAGGAGGTGTGGCCTTCTTGGAGGAGGTGTGTTACTTGGGGTGGGCTTTGAGGTTTCAAAAGCTCATGCCAGGACTGCACTCTCTGCCTGAGAATCAGAATCAGGATGTAGCTCTCACCTACTTTTCCATGTTTATTGCCATGCTTGCTGCATGCTTCCCACCATGATAATGATTATGGCCGAAGCCCTTGAAACTGTAAGCCAGTCCCCAATTAAATGCTTTCTTTTATAAGAATCACCTTGGTTGTGGTGTCTCTTCACAGCCACAGAGCAGTGACTAAGACAGAGTGTGTGCTTCAGGCTCTAAGGGCAGTAGACACTGGGCCAGCTGGTGGCCTCGTTTCCCTCATATGCAGATTTCTGTCTTCCTTCTAGCTGAGTATTGAGCTCTGAAGATCTAAAAGAAAGCCTCTGTGTGGAGAGCACGGTGGGGCCAGGTAAACCAAGGCTGGCCAGTCCTGAGGCCCAATGTATCAGGTCTCACAGGCTGATGCAGGTCAAGAATAGCCCCAAAGAGAAAAGTTACAAGACCGCATATGCATTTTGGAAATAGACCTCTAGGAAAAAGACAGCATCCTCAACAAATGGTGCTGGCCAACTAGATAGCTGCATGTAGAACAATGCAAATAGATCCATATTTATTACCCTGAACACAACTCAACTCCAACTAGATCAAGGACCTCAGCATAAGGTCATATACCTTGAATCTAAAAGAAAAAGATGGGAATCATCTTGAACTCACTGGCACAGAAAAAGAACTCCTGAACACCAATAGCAGAGGCACTAAGAACAAAAATAAATGGGGCTTCATATTGAGGCCCTCCGAGTACCAGCCTCAGCATCCCCTTCAGGGTTCAGAAGAAGACTTATAGCAGGCATGGGACTTAGATCTGAGGGCAAAATAAACTCACCACTATGCACTTTTCTGCATCAGTTTCTCTTATATGTAGATGTTAGGTTTTAACCCTTTACTAGGAATGCTATTACTTGAATAATCACAGAGTTTGGGTATAAAGTAAGCATTGAGTAGGGGATCTTCCAAGGAAGGGGAAATAGGATGCATAGTCATGGAGAGATGGGAAGGGGACTGGAATAGGAGGATTAAACAGAAAGGAGGGAGGAAGTGTGGAAAGGGAAGGAATATGGTGAGGGACAGTTAACACTCAGGGCCATTGGAGAGGTCATATGGAAACCTCCTGCAGTAGAAGCTTCTTTATGTATATGAAAGAAATCTAAATGAAGTCACCGAATAACAGTGGAGACAAAGCCCCTGATGGACATCTTTCACCACCAAATGAAACCTCCAGTTCCATAAATGTGTTACATCGAATTGAGTTGTTATGCAACAAGCAACTCAGGTTGTTGCTTGATTATTTGGTTGTTGCTTGTTTGCTTGACCGCTAAAGCTATTGGTTGCTCTCTGCAAACTGATGGTGAAGCCATATTGCCGCAGACACACCTATATATCTCACTGAACACGGAGAAGTTGAACTGGTGTCTACTAAGAGCCTTCACGCCTACTGACTAGTGTTCATGGTGCTGGAAGGTAGTCTACATGCTACCAGAGGAGACAGCTAAACATTAGCCCAGCTACAAATCCTTCATCTACAATGGTTGTAGAAGTTAGCTCGATTTGGGAAATAGCCAGGCTAGATAAAAGATAAACAATTATATTTTTACTTATTATAAGGGGAAGAACTCACGAAACAGGAATGAGAAGTACAAGCTCAACTGTACTGCAAGGGAACCACAGAGAGAGAGAGAGCACCTGAGCCATGAGCCCGTTTCTCTCCGGGCCCCAGAAAGCCATACCCTAACTTAGTCCCACCTCTTGATGATAATTGGTTAACAAAGCTTCCCCATCAAATGGTGACCAGGCTGCATGATATGCTGGTGAACAATGGCACAAAAGTTGAGGGAGGCTCCAAGTCCACTATATGATAGCATTTAAGGCCCTCTCTATCCAAGTCCACTATCTGATCGCATTTAAGGCCCATTTTGATGTGGAACCCATGCCAAGAATCTGAGACTAGATAATCATACACATGGAGGAAAAGCAAATGCTACTGTCATGCTACAGGAACATAGCAATAGAATGACTCCTAATGACATTCTGTTACATCTGTGATCAGTCCGTTACTCATCCATCATCAGAGACACTTCCTCCTGCAGTAGATGGGACAAATACAGAGACTCATAACTGGGAAATGTGCTGAAAGTGAGAAACCCTGGATACTCTAAACAGGACGGCTTTCTCAAACCCTTCCCCTCAGGGCTCAGGGAGCTAAGCAGAAGAGGAAATAGAAAGACTGTAAGAGTCAGGAGGGATGAAGACACCCAGCAAACAGTATCTTTCAGACAAAGCAGGACTGATGAACATATGAACCCCCCAGACTGTGGCAGCGTGCACAGGTTTGCACAGGTACAAGCGAGATAGGGTCTGTGCTGAGAGGGAAAGCAGACATGAACCCCCACCCCTAATCTAGAAGCTATCACCAACGACAGCTGCTCACAAAGGACCCAATTCGTTTTCTCCAATGGCGTTTCACTCGGTATACAAACCACACTTAAGGGAGGCCCTATGTCTATCAGCAGATCACCAACACAAACAAATTCATTTCAATGGCAGTTTTGGAGATTTTTTTTTTGCCTCATATGATTTGGGTGGTTTTTTTGTTGTTGTTTTTCTATTCTTTATCTTACTGGCCTTTTGTGGTGGAATATTAATTTAACTAGGCAAAGATGTGCTACTTTGTTTATGCTGCATTTGTTCAATTGTGCACAGACATGCTGCATTTGTGTCACCTTGCCTGCCTAAGGCACCTGATTGGTCTAATGATGGAGGTGGGTCTTGTAATAATAAAGAAACTGCCTCGGCCCTCATAGGACAGAAAATTAGGTAGGCGGAGTAGACAGAAGAGAATGCTGGGAAAAAGAAGCTTAGTGAGGAGTCGCCATGGTTCTCCCACTCCAGACAGACGCAGGTTAAGATCCTCCCTGGTAAGCCAGCTCGTGGGCTACACAGAATATTAGAAATGGGTTAGAACAATATGTAAGAGCTAGCCAATAAGAAACTGGACCTAGCCGGGCCAGGCAGTGTTTGAAAGAATACAGTTTCCGTGTAATTATTTCGGGCATAAGCTAGCCATGTGGGTGGCCGGGTGCCAGGTATGCAGCCCTGCGGCTCCTATCTCAACAGTCTAATAAAAAGCTGAATGGCCAATAGGCAGGAAAAGGCTAGGTGGGGCTGCCAGGCAGAGAGAATGAATAGGTGGAGAAATCCAGACTCAAGAAGAACCAGAGGACTGAGAGAGAGAAGGAGGAGAAGAGCATGCGGGAGACACCCAGAGTAAGAAACCAGGCAATACCAGCCAGCAGACATAGAGAAGCAGTGAAAGTAAGATATACAGAAGTAAGAAAGGCAACGGTCCTTGAGGCAAAAGGATATAAATAGAAACAGGTTAGTTTAAGTTAAAAGAGCCAGCCAGAAATGAGCCCGAGCTAGACTGAGCATTCAAAACCATTCTCTGTGTCATGATTTGAAAACTGGTTGGTGGCCTAAAAGAAAAAAGCCTGGTACAGTCTTTTGATTATATATTATGGTTTTGATTATGTGGTTTTTATGGTGTGTGTATGTATACATGCATGCAAGTGTTTATATGTTTCTCATACTTTTTTCTTTATAATTTTCTATTTCTTTGTTTCTGTTTTGTTTTACTGTGGTTCATTTTTTCCTGTCTGTTTTCCATATATAAAGAAGGTGAGGACTTGTAAGGGAGTGGGGAATGGGAAAGGGGTGGGGATTGGGAAGAGGGTGGGGAGTGGGAAGGGGGTGGGGAGTGGGAAGGGGATGGGGGTGGGGGGGGGGGGGGGGGGGGGGGGGGGGGGGGGGGGGGGGGGGGGGGGGGGGGGGGGGGGGGGGGGGGGGGGGGGGGGGGGGGGGGGGGGGGGGGGGGGGGGTAGGAAGGGGTGGGAGCAGATCAGGGAACAGAAGCTGTGATCAGAATATAATGTATGAAAAAGTGTTTTCAATAAAAAAAATAAAATGTAGGAGGGAAAATTAAAAAATACACAGATATCAACAATGCACATAAAATAAGCAAAATATCCAAGGCTCTGAGCTTGTATTTAGGGCTTACCATGTAAGGAGTTAGTAGGGAATAGGCAGTTATGGAAGAGGCCACAGGGAGAGAGAGAAACTTCTCACACAGTGGATGGACCATGAATGAAGCTAACAGACAACACTCCTGCTTGGGAGCCAGGATTATCTCTTAGACAACAGACAACACTCCTGCTTGGGAGCTGGGATTACCTCTTAGAGTCATGGAGCATCCAGGCCAAGGAGGTGAAGTAATGGGAGAGGGAAGGAGGGAATAGAGAAAGGAAAAGGGGGATCCAAAGAGGGGAAGTCTAGGGGCCCTACAAAAGACTAACCCAGAGTCCACGGGATAGTCTACCGGCTCTGGAGACTCCAGCCTTCTCAACAGAGAACATTCTGCCTTTTGCTTTCTGCCCCAGTAAAGAACTCTTTGATCTTTCTAAGCCTCCAGGTGTCCAGCTCTTCCTTTGCCTCTGGGAAGAACCTGGACTTCTGGCAGCTGCTGCATGGCACCGACACCTGTGACAACCAGACTTGAGCTGCCCTGACACGGAATCCACTGACTGTTTACTTGGGGACCCCTCTCTAGTACCCCTAGGTCTTCTCTTGGGAGCCTCTCAAAGTCCCCCAAGAGACAAGAGTCCACCAATCTCTGTCCAGAGCAAGGGTGAAGAGCCAGCAGCCAGAGTTCTGGAACTAGAAAGGGAGAAGAGGTCTGTGTATTCACCAATCAGCTGTTCCTTTAAAGATAGGGCTGGGAGTTACTGAAGCCTCCTTCCTGCCTAGGGATCATCAGTTAAGAGACTCTTGACTTTAACCTACTTAAAAAAAAAAAAACAAGCAAGCAAACCAAAAAAAAACCCTGTCCAGGCACCTTCCAGAGTGGAAGAGTGGTCTTCAGTGTTGAAGGGGTACACACCTCAATGGTTTGGAGGGGTTCTGCTCCCTTCCCCCTCCAGGGGGTTGGGATGTTTGCAGCTTAACTCATCATTCCTGCTGGTTGTTTTTAACCCATAGGCTTATTTTCCATATACCTAATTTTTTTAAAAAACATTGCACCGAAAAGGAAGTAAAGGCAAATGGGAAATAACCTGTGAGCAGCAGGACCACTAAAGCGACCTCCAGACTTGATCCAACCCCTATGTGCTAACTCAGGAGGCAGTCTCAGCCGGGATGGTGATTCCAGACTTCCTTGACAGCATTCAGTTGAAATGTAGGTTGATTGACGAGACCCTTTGTTCATCTGTGTGGCTTGGAAGTCCACCAGTGGGCCACCCAGCAAATAGGATTTCAGCTTGAGATTGAGGCTATAACATGGTCATCCAACTCTAACTACACAACTCAAATTTGTGCTCTTATGCGTGTGTGTGTGTGTGTGTGTGTGCTTGTGTGAACTGTGGGGTTTCCTGGCATAGGGATGGCCTGTATGTGGCCTTGTGGCCTTAGTCACACAATAAGGCTTCTTATCTCCCCCTCCCACATCCTGCCAAGTTAGATGAAGACATCAGAAAGCCAGAAGCTGTTTCCTGTGACTTGGGGTGGGGAGGTGTGGGATCAGGTAGAACTCCAGGCAGCTTGTTCTGGAATCCTGGGCACTGTGCCTGTCTACTCCAGTATCCTTACCCCCACTAGAAAGATAAGACCGTCTGGCACCTCACTCTGAGGTATTTGTTTGGAGGCCAAGTTTGCCGCAGTCTCTACCTGATGCTTCACCTGTGAGATTGTGGACACTGGACAATGTGGGATGGAGCATGGCAGACTCCCTGTCCTGCTGTGTGGAGCAGCTGGAAGCAGGAAGGAGCCTCCCATTTTAACTCTCGTCTGTGGCCAGAGCCCCTTGAGCAGGAGGCATGCCCAAGGCCATCCTGCAGTAAGTAGGGTTGCTGAAAAGTCACTCATGTGGAGCACTGGAGAGGGACTTTTGAGATGCCTCTGAAGGTGGTCATCATGCATGGTCCCTTGGTCACTGGGCAGCTGACTGTGGGCTCCTGGTCACCTTTGGTGGAAGGTTCTGATCATGCTTCTGTCTCCACGGTATTCTTCAGAATAGTATCTGTTCCAGGCAGGTCACTTCCTTGCCTTGGCCTTTCTCCTCCCACCTTCACCTGTCTGGGTCAGGCCTGGGACCCTGGCCATGTGATTTCCCAGGGCCCTGCCTCTGGGCCCTTGCTGCAATCTGCCCTCCAGTCTCCAATTAATAACACAATATTTGCAAGGACAAGGCAGGACTCAGCTGGAAGGAGGTATCCCACAACTGGAACAGGAAGCCCTACTTCGGACCCCACCCAGGCCAGCCCTCCTCTGCCATTGCAGGATTTGGCCCTCAACCACATCCTTGAATCTCCCAAGCCATTTAGCATCCAGTATCTGCCAAAATCTTGGCCCCTCCAATCCAGGCAGCACCAGGAACTGGTATGACCGGAAGGTTGGTCTGTGTCTCCTGTTTTATGGAGATGCTGTTTTCTGGAGGAACAGACAGCTCTTGGAAGGAAGAGGTACAAACCCATCCCAGATATACTGAGAACCTACTGGTGAGACTACCTCTCTGTGTTTTACTTTTCTGATTTGAAATACAGATGAAAATAACATCTCTAGTAGTTGTGAGGGTTAAATCATAATGTAGCCATCCTGTGGTCTGGACCCAGCAATACCACTCTTGGGAATATACCCAAGAGATGCCCTATCATACAACAAAAGTATATGCTCAACTATGTTCATAGCAGCATTGTTTGTAATAGCCAGAACCTGGAAACAACCTAGATGCCCTTCAATGGAAGAATGGATGAAAAAAGTATGGAATATTAGATATTACATAATATTAGATATTACATATTAGAGTACTCTCAGAAGTAAAAAACAAGGACTTCTTGAATTTTGCATGCAAATGGATGGAAAAGAGATTCTTCTTTTGTTTTCACAGACGATGAGACCCTGTGGATTGTTTTTATTCCGATATGGTATGATGGACCACACCCTGCTGAAGGGTTGCTGTGAACACCTTCAAAAAATTACTTCACTCGACTGCTGACTGAGATGAACCTAGCACACAGGTTATACCCTGAAATACCTGATTAACAGTGCCCCCCCATACAGCAGGAAGCAGTTTGGAGAGAAATAACTGCACCCATGTTCTCATATATTGTTTATAAATGTTCTTTTACATCATATGATATAGGTATGAATAATTTACATTGATATGGATTTTGCTTTAGTGATTTAAATTTAAGGTCAATTTTGTTATATGTATATGTGTTTCTGATCTTGATTAAGGTATTGTGATTGTGTAGTTCATTTAAAAATGTAATGTACATAGGTTGTTAATAGATAATCATAATAGCCAAGTTTGTAGTCATGTTAGTTAGATTTTCTAGATGTACATGATATATTTTAGTTAGGCATTCTTCATATTTTTCAAAGATTATAGAATATGGCATTTTAAATGTTTTAATAACTTAGGGTTTTTCGTGACAATGAGACACGTCTTCTCCTGGCAGCACCAATCTACTTTGAGAGGAAGATGGGCATCCTAGAGGCTCCTTACGGAGTTTGATAGCCATTTGGGCAAGAAACTGCTCTTGCCTGGACTATTGTATAAACTGGACACAGAAAACCCACAGAGAGAGGACAACTGAACTTGCCTAAAGGTGAGATGATCTTTCGGGGTTCCTGATTCATGAAGGAGTCTGCAAGACATTCTGCAGGACACAACAGATAGTAACTGAACTGACTTTGAATTTTCCTGCTTCCTGGAAATGTCTGCTGGATACCATGGGCCTCAAGGCTGAAGATGGATGCCCCAACAGTACAGAGGAACTTTGGGTGATTGTCCAGGCAGCGAGATGTCTCTGTCATTTCTCGAGTTTGAAAGTTGCTTATTTCTTGTTTGCTTAGATAATATTGTATCTTTCTGGAGTCTTTGGTGGAGTTGAAGAATAGTTAGTTATAGTTATAGTTTTCCTTAGTTATGATAAAGATAAAATAGATGTAAATACTGTAATTTTTACTTGATAACTGTTTTGTTATATGTAATTTTGCTATGTTAAAGTTAAAGCCTTCCTTTTTTTGTTTAAACAGAAAAAGGGGAAATGATGGAGGAAGGTCATTGGTTAAAAAATAAAGAAACAGCTTGGCCCTCATAGGTTAAAACATAGGCGGGAGGAGTAAACAGAACAGAAGAAGAAGTGAGCTCAGAGGCCATGCTCCCCTCTCCCGGGCAGACGCGATGAAACTCCGACCCAGGATGGACATGGGCTAGAATCTTCCCAGTAAGTGCACCTAGGGGTGCTACACACATTATTAGAAATGGGCTAGGCCAGGTATGAGAGTTAGCCGAGAAGAGGCTAGATATAATGGGCCAAGCAGTGTTTAAAATAATACAATTTGTGTGTTGTTATTTCGGGTAAAGCTAGCCAGTGGCGGAATGCAACCCGCAGCTCCTACAACACCTCTGAGCTCTCAAGTAAGATTATGGAATGGAAGCAGGAGCTCTCTGGTCTGTGATGGCTGGTGAGCACCATGGCAGCCTGTGCTGCCCACCTTGGGGTTTATTTTCCAAAGGAAAGGAAAAGGGCTCAGATTTGGTTTGTTTTCCCTAGTGAAGGGCCACCAAGCATCCCGTTTCCTCATTGCCCTCCATTTCATTCTTAGTCCAGGCTGTAAAAGCTCTAGGCCCAGAGGACTAGTGTCCTAGATTATCAATTCCCTCCTCAGGTCCCTGAGGCTATGATAGAGGCACCACCTGCCCAGCCCTCACCTGAGTCCTGTCCAGGTTGCTCTAGCCCTTCAGAAGGCTCACATGCAGAGTCTCTCCTCTAGGTGCCAGTGCCCAAGCCCAGGATCCCCGGCCTCCCGTGGCTCTCCTGAGCACTGTCTCTAGGTCTGGCAAATGCTGCTAGGAATCTCCAGGCTGCTCTGATTTGCCAGGGGCAGCTGGACAGGGAGCAGGTATTGCACTTTCCGTCTATGCAGCAGAGCTGTACAACTAAGAGAGACCAAAAGAACTCAGATGGGGACAGTGACAGTGCCTTCAGATATGCCTGGACCAGGATGACATGTCCAGGAGGGGCGTGACAGAGCTGGGCATCGAAGCCAAGTCCAGCAGCAGAGAGTTCGGGGTGGGCATGGAAGAAGTGTGGGGGACTGGAGCTCCAACTTTTTCTGGACAGAGAGAGCAGGTGCTAAGATCGTCAGAACATGCAGTCCAAGTGTTTTTTAGTGTCCATCATCGTGGGTACATCTTGTGACAGGTGTGCAATTGGGTAATAAACCCTGTGTAAAGTTAATAACTGTTTTAATCCACTCAGATTTGTATTCCAGCAAGAATAAGTTCCACACAGTTAACGTTAACACTAGCATACTCAGTATGGTCTTTGGGTGCTATTTTCTCTTTCTCCCTTCCTTCCATCCTGCCCTTTTTTGCCTCCCTCCTATCCTCACCCTCATCTTTCCATTCTTATCTTCTTTTTCTTCCATATTTATGTCTATACACATCTCTGGAATGATAATGCTTAGTACAAATTTGGGGATGGAAGTTGTAGTGATTCCTTTTTTTGGTTCTGAAGTATATATACCTTTAATTATTTTTAATTTTAACTTTTTATATATTTTATCTTATAGGTTCTTTTTCCATATTTTAATAGTTCTTTGAGAATTGATTACAATTTATTTTTATCATATTCACTTCCCTCCCCTCACTCTTCCCAGATTCAGCCCCCTTTCCCACCCAACCATGTTACCTCTTTTTTTAATATAAAAATTATTTTGTGTGTATGGATGTTATACTTGGATGCTTGTCTGTACATTACATATGTTTCTGATACCCAAAGTATCCCCACGGAACTGGAGTTACAGTTTTGAATCACTATATGAGTGCTGAGACTTGAACCTGGGTCCTCGAGAACATCAGCAATAAAAGAACAAGTGTGGAGTTAAGCAGTATCATAGATCAAACGGATCTAACATATCTACAGGAAGTCCCACCCAAACACCACAGAATACGTTCTTCTCAGTAACCCGTTGAAACCCTCTCTAAAACTGACCGCGTATTAGGACAAAAAGCAAATCTCCACAAATACAGGATAAATGGAAGTGTCATTCTCCATCCTATATGACCCAAATAAAGCTGGATATAAAAAGAAACACAAATTACAGACAGTACAAAAACTTATGGGAACTAAGTAACACAGTACTTAATGAAAAATAGGCCAAGAATGAAGTAAAGTAGGAAACAACAAAATTCCTAGAATTGAATTAAAACAAAACTATAACTTACGGGATTCTATGAGACACAATGAAGATAGCACTAAGAGGAATTCCGGAGGACAGCACTACGTGCCTACTCCGACAAACAAATAAAATGAGATCTCTCAAATTAATAATGATGCACCTGGAGACTGTGTAAAAAATAAGAACAAACAAGTCCCCACCCCCACAAACAAAAAAAAAACCCAAAAACAAACAAGGTAGACAAGAAGAGATAACCATTTCAGGGCTGAAGTTAATGAAATAGACACAGCAACACGATGCCAAATGAGACAGAGTTGTTCTTTGAAAAGATTCACAAGACTGACGAACTTTAGCCGGATTCATTAAAAGTAAGAGGAGGGATGGAGATGGGTCAGCAGCTGAGCGCCCTTGCTGCTCATACAGAGTTCCTGGGTTCAGTTTCTAAGACCACATAGTGGCTCACAACCTTTTATAAGTTCCACTTCCAGGGAATCCAGTACCCTCTCCTGGCCTCCATAGGCACCAGAAAACTCACATGGTGCACAGACATGTGTGCAGGTGAAATATCCATACACGGAAAATAAAGTTAAAAATTAAAATTCTACATTTCACCAAACTGAAAAGTCTAAAAGAAATGGTTACATTTCTAGCTCTATACAGCTTACCAAAGGGAAATAAAGATGAAATAAAATTCAAATAGGTTCATAACATCTAATGAGACAACAGCGGTGATTAAAATCTCCCAGCGAAAAAAAGCTCAAAGCTAGAGGTATTTGATGTAGAACTCGGCTATTAAAGAAGAGCTAACACCAGTCTCCTCAAATTATTCCATAAAATAAAAATGAAGGAATATTTACAAATTAATTTTGACAAATCTGGTATTAACATGATACCAAAACCAAAGACCCAACACAGCATTATAGACCAATACCTTTGATGAATATAGATGCAAAAATTCTCAACAAATACTTACAAACTAAATGCAAGAACACATCAAAAAGATTATCTACCATGACCAACTGGGCTTCATTCCAGAGATGCAGGGATAGTTCAACATACATAAATCAATAAACCTAATTCACCACATAATTATCTCATTAGATGCAAAAAAAGTCTTTGATAAAATGCAACATCCTTTCACAATAAAAGTACTGAAGAATCTAGGGTTACAGAAGACATGTCTCACAGACTACATCTTGGGAAAAAAATTACAAAAATTTACACTAAAACCAGAATGTTCACTTTGTCCCCTCAATACACTCTGCCCCTGTTCAATACAGGACTTGAAGTCGTTACTAAACAAGTAAAGTAAGGGAAAGAAATGAAAGGGATACAAATATGAAAAAAGTAAAAAAAAATCCCCATATAAAGATGATATGATACTATATGTAACTTGAGGTCTTTATAATTGCTTCTGGCATATTTATAAAATAATTCAACACATTCCCAGATACTGTGTAATATACACTGTAGGACAGGGACACTGGATTGCTGACAGACACGCTCCTGGCCTAGCATGGCTTGCACAGCTCTGAGATCGCCTGGGTTCTTCTCTGGTGATGTTCATGCTGTTCCCTCTGTCTGTAAAATCCTTTCCTCCCTGCTTTACCAAATTGCTGCTCCTTTAGACCTAGCTCAAGCGACACTTCCTGACCCATACAGCAGGCCAATCAGACCCCCTCTGGAGCCTGAGAATCTGAGCAGTGACAGAGAGACAGCAGAAGGCTCAGCGTGTGCTCACAGGAGTCTGTGCCCAGGGAACACTGTTCAGAGGTTGGCACCAAGTTCACATGGTGCAGCTGGCTTCTGCTATTGACATTGACCCTGGGATTTCCCTTAACCCAGGACCTCAAGTTGGTTTCCTGTGCTTGCTTGAGTACCCTTCTGCTGTCCTGACTTCCGGTGTTGAGTCTGTGCTACTAGAGGATTGCAGGATGGATTGAGGTTACCCAGAAGGCATTATGAGAGGACCAGCATAGGGCATTTTGCAGATGGAACAGACTGGTCAGAGCTGAAAGGATGACCCCAAGTTTTGATGTGAGAGTCCAAGTTCTCTCAGCTATTGGCAATTCCATGACAACCGGCCTGTGTCTTCTTTCTGGAAGGAGCTCCTAGGGAGGCTGGTGTGTGTGTGTGGGGGGGGTGCAGGTGCAGAGGTGGGCTTGGTTGAAAGAAGAGGAGACAGAAGCAGTAATTAGCTAGGCTGAGCTCTGCTTGATGCAATTCTGACTGTGCTTAGGAACACCATGCAAAAGAGGCAGACAAGAGATTCCTTGGAACACCTGAAGGATGAGTGAGTGGGTGCAGGCTGTAAAAGAACAGAAGAGACAGACAGGACTAGACAGGTGAGCAGGGCTATGCGACGGGGGTTAAGGGAGGGGCTCAGTGGAAGTATTGGTTATTTTCAAGGGATGGACAGGCAGAAGGAATGGTCAGAGCTAAGATAGGAGGGCCTGGCGGAGGGCGGAGCTAAGAGGCGGGGGAGAAGGGATTGGCAGAGCTCAAGGATGGGAAAAGGAAATGATGGGCTCAAAGAAGGGTTGGAGGAGACAGTTGAGCCAGCTAAAGAATGGGACCTGAGAAGATAGATAAGTGGGGTGAGCGGGGTCAGTTGGTTGAGGCAGCATGCTCTCCAGGTGGCTTAGCCTCCTAAAGGCATCTGGCTGACCAACCTCTTGTCTGCTCAGTGGAGCTGTGGACCTAAAGGGAAAGGTGCAGGACACTGAGGGGTTGAGGCTTGCAGAGAGTCCCCTGAAGTAGCAACTGGGATGGGCGGCTGTGCTTCAGTCACACGGTCACGTGAGAGAAGCTGCTGGGATGGGCGACCGCGCTGACATCACGTGGTCATCTGGAGAGAACCCGCGGCTAACAGTCATCTGAGCAGCAGACCCAGTTTGGTGGATGTCACACGCGCCTCTTCCAGAGCCTGGGCTGCGGGGGACAGCGTCTTCTCTATGTCTTTTCTGTGTTTGGACCGGCTATAAAGAGGATGGTATCAGTTTCCCACCCGCTAGACCGGTGTCTCTGTAGAAACAGAGTCGCAGGCACAGCATTCCAGGTGACTCCTGTGAGAGAGAGCGGACTGGTCTGATCAAAGAATCACAGGGTGACAAGGCGTGGGGCTCAGACCCCATAAGAGGTCAGGTTGTTTTCACTGCAGAGTTATTCTGCAAGTCA